ATGATATTATTATTATTATTATAATTATTATTAATGATATTGATTATTTATTATGTTTCTTGATATGCTATTTATTATTTATTGCTTGATCACCTTTATTGCATGTTTAAAGGGAATTTGGTATTTGTAATCACGCTTAATAAAATTATTAATAATCTTGTTTAGGGTTAATTGTGATTATAATTCAAGTGATTGCCAATAATAGATTTGTATGTGCATTAATATTCAACCAACATAGATTAAACAGGTTTAGGGTTAATCATATCGATTGCATGTTAATCAGAAAGCGCACATGAATACGAGCATAATAAAGTAGAGGCCTATTATTAGGGCAGGTTCAATCTCTTTTAGGTTGGATTTGTACCATCATCCCTGAACCCTTATTTGGTTCATGACCTTATGGAGTTGACGATCTCTTGGATCGTTAAGGGGTGTAACCTTCACCTCGTGAACGGTTTACAAGTTCCTTAAAAACTTGTTGGCGACTCTTTTGCTCTATCTTCTTCTCTTTTGGACGCCACCGTACTTTAGTGTATGATCACAGTGGGGTTCAAGTTAGTGGTATTTTAAAGGCTTGAAACTATTCCCTACACCATTATAGGCCTCCATAGAGAACTCAAGAATCCTTTTTCTCCTTCATCTTTCCACAAATAAGAAAATAGTTTTTTTTTTTTTAAAAAAAATAAAATAAAAGTAAGGCTTTTAACTCACACACAAATGCGAAACTCTATCTATCCTATATGCCCTCTTAAGTCTACCCACAATTTTAATTACTATTCCAATTTTAATCTTTTTAGGACCTTGAAAACTGATACCACTTTGTAACACCCCCAAATCTCCCTCTACGGAAATACTAGTATGATACGTATAATTATACCGTAGAGATAGACTTAGGCGTATTACCGCCGCGTGATTAAGCAAGGCTACTCAACTTACTCAAAATAGCAATACTTTGCAGCGGAAACTTCAATACTCTTCTTTATTAATAATAACCATAATAGTAACCAATGTTATGAGTACTCCAAATAGATACAAGACCAAATTCCTAGTTTAGTGAAAACCAATTCCTCATATTAAAATCAATTCCTCTCCCAAGTGTGCACACCCCCCAAACTAGTTTCCTTATGTTACAAGGCTATTCTTGAGGAAAGACCCGGTCATACAAAGTCCAAGGCCTTATCAATAAACCAAATCCGCATAATGGGATTACTAACATGCTTATGAAAACAATAAATCCATGATTCAATAAATCCTCTTTTAAATCCAATAATTCAACCTTTAATGAAAACAATCCAAACTCCTTTTCAATAAATCCAACTTGCTTTCAAATCAATCCTTTTTAAACATGAATAATAAATTAATTAATCAAAACATGTTATAAAAATCAATACTCCAATTCAATCATTAAAACCAATCCTTTAAACATACTTTTAATTCATAAACCATAATTCAATTCAATTTAATTCAATTCATCATAAAATGGGTGATTCTTGAGCCTAACCACAAGGATTTTTTGAGAGGAACAACTTTTTGTGAAACGTCACTACCCTAAAAACTGACCAGAAGTTCTCGAAAATTGGCTTCAAAGATGAACAGGATGATTTGTGTAAAATTGAGGAGAAGAAAAGAAGAGAATTGGTGTGAAGAATGTGAGAGGTATGAAGGGATATTTATAGGCTAGTATGAGCATGAATTATGGTAGAAAAATTTAGGAAGAATTATGGTAATTAGGGTTTAAGAGATTACTTGGAGAAGTGAGCAAAGATTTAAGGAAAGTTTTGATATTTGAAGGGATTGTGTATAATTGAATATGGAAGGTATGTATGTCATGAAAAATATTTAAGAAAATTGGGATTTCTTGGGGAATAATTAAGAAGAATGAATGGCAAGAAAATATAATGATTGGATATCACAAAGATGGAGAATTAGAATTATGGAAAATAGGAGATTTTAAGAAGATAATTAAAAATACAAATTACCAAAATATTTTCCCAAAATCTTCATGGGATGGCCGAAATTTTTGAGCTTTCCTAAGCTCATATTTTCGGCCCTCCTATTTAGTATTTAGGAATATATTTTGCTAGTTTTAAGGAATTAAAAATAATTGTGTAAATAATATTTATTATAATAAATAATTAAATAATAAAATACCAAATATTCACCAAATAATTTAACTAAATAAAAATCAGATTTTCACATAGGAAAATCCGAAATTATTAGCTAATTAATTGGGATTTTTGGACCTAATAAAATATAGCTTTTGCCTTAATTAAAATATCTGAAATATCTAAATAATCCGGTTTTTAAAATAGGATAAATGGATAATAAATCTTATCCAAATTAATAATTTGTTTTTAAAATACTTTTGGCGCCAAAATTCAAATATCATTTTTGCTCCAAGAATTAAATAGTAAGTTGAATTACTAAAATACCCTTTTTAGAAAATAATAATTAATTAGGAAAATATATATGAAAATACGGGGTATTACATTACCTCCTACGTACTATTGCCAATTGGTTTTAGAATGGAAGCTCCAAAAGCCTTGTTTGTGGACCAAACTCTCATCCTCCTTATTCGGGTTGCCCAGACCCATTTCATGTTGTTTCAAAATTTAACATGGTATCAGAGCCCAGGTTGCGGGTCTCTTCTAAACTGGATATTTAATCGCTACTGGATAAGGATTTACCTTGACAAGATGTCCAGCCCCTAAGAGGATTAGTATGGAAGCTCCAAAAGCCTTATTTGTAGACCAAACTCTCCTGCTCCTTATTCGGATTGCCCAGGCCCATTTCATATTGTTTCAAAATTTAACATTGTCTGGTAGGTTCATGGATGATCATATTGATCAAACACCCTTAGAAAATGGACTCGAGAAATTCAATAATGACATATTCATGGGGAATAAAAAGAATTAGGAGATTGGATGGTGAAATTGCAATTGACATGATTTTGCTAAGCTTAGGTTCAAGGTCAATTGATGATGTATTTGAACTACCTTCTTTGGTTATGCCAAATACCAAGGTTAATACTTCTTCCAACACAATTAAACTCGACATACATGCTAATGCACCTAAACTCCTTCGTGTATCTTACTTTTTCAAATAAAAAAAATTGTCAATGTACTAATTTCACTTTAGACATATACGATTAAGGCCCTATTTGGTAATTATCTTGTAGCTGATTGTATTACCTGATTTGACTAGCTGGCCGGTTATATTAGCTGGTTTGACTAGTTGGTTATAATTAGTTGATTGTATAAAAGTGTTTGGTAAATAGCTATTAATTGTTAGCTTTTTTAGTATATTTAAGAGACAAAAAGCTAAATGCTCAATAAAATAATTTTAAAAAGCTTTTATAATGAGATTTTTTTAAAAACCCTAGGAGCGGAATATCCAATAGTTCAGGTACAAACCTATGGGGCATCTTTTTCCCTAGCTTTTTGAGCCCAAAAAGCTCTTTTAATAAGTTATTTACCAAACACCCAAATTAGTTTGTTTAATAGGACAAATATTTAATTGGGCAAAATAAGCTAAAAACTCTATAAAAAGCTCTTTACCAAACAAGACCTAAATCTTCTTCGTCTTTGCCTTGAACGCCTTAATCCCATTAGAGGGATCGGCTACATGAACCTTTTTTTTTTTCGACTACATGAACCTTTTTTTTTCCGATTTGTTTATGTCACAAATTTAGTTGTTAATTGTGCAAACATATTTTTTAGGAGTATAAATATCTACACTATTCTTAAGAGCTTAAAAAAAAAAGTAATTATGGAGTGACATTAATGAGGACAAATAAATTAGAGGGTATAATTATCCAAATAATATTCATAAGAGTTATCTAAAATGTTTTACTCCAGCAACCAACATTGCCATCCTTTTGGTCAATGTATTGGAGAGGAGTCTTATTTACCGTCATACACAACTAACAAAAAGAGTAAATACAACATGATATCCAACACTTGGTATTTATATACTCCGTGATTGTCATTTGATAAACAAACTAGTTATTGGCCCGGGCGATGCACCGGATCATTATAAATATATTACTTTAGTCGAAGTTTGTTTGTCAGTGAAAGCTTAAGTGACGTTTATTTTTTTTATATGATAGCTTAAGTTGTGTGTTGTTTGTATGAGCTGATTTCATTATTAAAATAACGGTTTGACTTAAAAAAATACTTTTTTTTTTTTGCATTTAAATAAAATCTCTATAAATTTGATGTCAAAATTATAATACTCCATAATGCACAAAAATCTTTTACTGTATAACTACAATTTTTAATATCTTACAAACTTTATTATTGTGTAATTATTAAGGATCGGAGTTACATTTCAAGGGAAATTTATATAAGGTGTTATGCATATGAAGAGGTTATCAATTAAATTAAACATTAATACATGGCTAATGTATGAAGTTTTTCAATTATTAATGGTCTTATATGATTTGGTAATACAGCATATACCAAATGGCAAAATCGGTGACACATGGCAAAATAGCATGTCTTGCCATGAGTTTTAATAATATATATTGATATATTGATATATTGATTATTATATTTATCTCTATGATTAACACAGACCCACTCTTTAAGGCCATGTTCTCTTGCTTAATTTCAGTTCAGTTCAGCTCCAATCAGTTTAGTTTAGTTTAATTTATTTCCTAATTTCCTTCTGTCATATACGAAGTATAATTTATTTCAGCTCTAATAAGTTTAGTTCATTAAATCAGAATAAACCCTATTATTTTGTTTCAATAGGAAGAAATCGAAGGAAAAGAAAAGAAGAGAAATGGAGGGAGACAAAATCTTTTATTTAGGTAAAAGATTGGGGGAAGAAAGGGGAAGGAGAGGGGGGGATCCATTTTCCCTTTCTCTATAATAACCATAATCTCTCCAAAATTAGAGGGAAAATGGAGCTCACCTCCCCCTCCCTTTCTTTTCCCTTCCCTTCCTCCATTTTCCCTTCCTTCTTTGCTATCCAAACAAAGCGTAAGTCTTTGTACCTTCCAAAAAAAAAAGGACCCACTCTTTATTCAAATAATTCTTTCTACTCATGAAAATTAATGGGTGATTTGGTTTCTAAAGTAAAAAATCCTACTGTAAAATCTTAAAAGCCAATATAGTGAGTAAAAAGCGGGATTTTTGGCTCCCACTTCCTCATTTTGGTGCCAAAAATCCAAAAATTTCCCTCCCAAAATCCCCTCCTATTTAACTATTCAAGGGTCACACTATTCTCAATTTCTCACTAACCTACAAGGCTACAATTGACCTATGCAACTCCAGTAAAAATAATGGCCAAACACCAGCGTAAAGAAGACCGTCTGAGTTCACTTCCCGACGCAATTCTCATCAACATACTCTCTCTTCTCCCAACCAACACCGCCGCTTCCACCTCCGTCTTATCCCACCGATGGCGCTACCTTTGGACCGGCGTCACTCGCCTTGATCTCATCCTTGATGATGCACCAAACCTCACTGACTTCCTCAGCAACATCCTACTACAACTAACATCCCCGAAACTCCACTCTTTCAAAATCGAGTTCGATTCGGGTGCCTTCTTACATGATGATGATGACCCTGATGCTGATGCTGTAGAGTCCTGCTTTCATCATATTTGCTGCCGAAATGTCGAACAGTTCATTTTCATTGACACACGTGTAGAGGAAGGGCACTTTCGAACGCCTGATTCCTTTCTTAGTTGTCAATCTTTAGTAGATTTGCATTTGTTTGGTCCGCTTAAATTTGATTATAAAAGTACTCAGTTTTACCTTCCGAATTTGAAGAAGCTTTCCCTGATTAACCTTTCAAATGTGCCTGATTGGGTTTGGTCTTTGCATACATTTGTCCCGTTCTTACAAGATTTAACTCTGGTGTTTGAGACGACGTCTAGACTACCGCCTAATGTAGTTTCTCCTCTGAATTTGCATTTCCTCAATTTGAAGTCGTTGACGCTAGCTTTAATTCCTGGTTTTATTCAGGTTTCTATTGATGCACCTGAAATAACACATCTTGTTATTAGTGGTTGTGTTTTACCTTATACCTTTCGTCGTATTCCAACTGAATTAATCAAAGCGTGTATTGAATTGAGGAGGGAGGATAAGGAAGAAGATGAGAATGATTACGCAGAGGATTTTAACTGGTTTTCTGAATTTTTCAGAGGAATGTCTAGTATTACCAACCTTGGGATTGTAGTGTTCAGGAGTATTAATATATTCTCTGTCTTGAATTTAAATCCACCCATGTTTTTTTAATGTAGTCCGCCTTGAGGTGACTTTGGATGGGTCTAATTTTAGTGGGAATGATTTGTTGGTTTCGCTGCAATGCTTCCCTAACTTACAGCATCTTTGGGTGAAATTTGATGTGATGGGTTTTATTGACGAACTGGTGCAGACAATGTGGCGCTCACCTTATATTGTACCAAGCTGTCTAGTTAATAAGCTCGAGATGATAAAGATAATTGGACTACCACTTAGTGGGATTGCTGCTGGGCTCATGTTGCTGAGGTACATTCTATGCAATGCAAAAGTTTTGCGAAAGCTTTACTTTGGTGCTTGGTTTGATGAACATTCTCAAGCACAAGAACTCTGGAAGGAACGTAAGTTCTGTAAGTCCTTGTTTAAGCTCCCAAGGTGCTCGCCGACTTCTAAGGTTGTGTTTTCGGGAAGGTTTATTACATCATCAAGTAATACTTTCAAGAAAGGAAAGCTTACTTGTAAAATGACCTAGCCAGCTTCATTGACTATATTCTTCCAACATTAAAGGATGCATTTTGTTCGGCAGGTACTCACAACTAAATTTCATTTTGAATTTGCTTTGATTAATTTCGATTGGTTTATGCTTACAACCACTTCTCAATGTGTTGGATTTGTGTCAATTGTTAAAATGTTAGCTTGCTATGAAATTGTAATTTTGCTTTTCTTCTAGTTTCGGTTCTTTTGCATCTCTATATTTTTTATATGGTTATGTTATATTTTCATTCTTGAATTTTTTCGTTTTATGCATGTCAATTTTAGATGGTACAAACATAAAATGCGATGATTTGTGTTTGTTGTCACTCAAGCCTTATAACTTGTCGTAACAATTGAGGGTCTTAAAGCCACAGATATGTGTTAAAAGTTTGCTTCAAATTAGATTAGAAAGGATGAAAAATAGTAGTCAGTAGACAGAGTTTGCTATACAACATATGCTCTACATGTACTCTCTACATAGTTTGAGCTACAATGAATGTTGATGATAAAGCTTTAGTAACTAACTAGTATTAGTTGGACTCAAAGGGGCTTGTTGAAACTTCTATCTCAAAAAATAAATAACCATTTAACGAATTCTGTGAAGCCAAGCCAGAGTATAAGGAAGTATTAGATTTTGATACGATTTGCAATTTTCAATCTAAATTGTTAAATATGACATGGTTATGGCATGCTCTATAGTCTATACTAGTCAGTTAATGGATGCAAAAGAGTATGAAGTTTTAGAATGTTGTTCAAAAAGATGTATCCATCTTTAGTGTTTTTAATTGGCATGTGAGTATTGATTAGGGGATTTTTATCCTCCAATCACCGTCTGACAAGTGGACCAACCAGGTTCCGCCACGTGTCCTTCACGAAGGCCAACAGGAGCCTGCCACGTGTCAATCACAGATACGTCCTCTACGGACCAATTTAGACACGCCACGTGTCCACCCATGCCAAATGGGAAAACCGGCCATCAAGGCCCAATCCAGTCTAGAGGCCCGATCAGCCCTAGGTTTACCTTAAACCTTGAGAGTGGCACGCTTCTCAAGGCTATAAATACTCAATTAATCCTCATTAATTAAGCAGTAAATCCAGGAATCAAGAAATCAAGCAGAGAAGAACAGAAATATTACGGAACACCAACAACCGGCTAATCTCGCTAACGACGCAGATTACCAACACTAAGCACTCTCACCTAGAGAGATCTTATTACTTTAATTTCCGTATTAATTACTCCTTAATCAGGTACTAACTTGACCGTTGGAGGCGGAGCTCTCAGGAGTCTCCGTTATTTTGCAGGTACAGGCGTCCGGTTCCAGTCTCGGAATTGTAACTCTCCCGCAGGACATCAGAAAACCCCGAAACATTTGGCGCCGTCTGTGGGGAGAGTACTTCAGAGATGGTATCCAAGTCTGTACCGACTCCAGAAGAGAGGCGTCCCCTAGACGACCCTCAAGTTCAGTCGGACCATGATACCGAAAGTGAATTTGAAGTTGAAACTCATACAGCTCCAGACGGGACCCTAAGGGCCCGACGTACCCGTCATACCGAAAGGAGGGAACGAGAGCATCTTCAAACAGGAAGCGAGCCAGCAGGCGCACCGCTTGCTCGGCAACAGCCGACTGATGGGTCTGCTCCCATCACAAGGAACGAACTCATGACCTTCATGAGGGACTTCAAGGGAGAGATTCAAGAGTTGATCAACAAAAAACCGCCTGCTTCAGTCAAAGAGCAGTCGGCCAAGAAACCTTCCACTTCACTGAAGAGGAAGCCAGTTCAAGGGCGAGAGGCGACTCCCCATCCTAAATCCAAGAAGCGGGAGCCACCTGCTCTTGATTTTACAAAACTCCGTTATCCTACGGGAAATAGGAAACCGGTTCGTCATATTCAGGCGGACGGGTCAAAGCAAACGTTCACAGATGCTCGGCTCCTGCTAGAGCAGAAGAAGAGTGACCGATTATCAGAGTCGGCTTCTACTTCAAATTTTCAAGACAGTTTGCGAAATGCCTCGATGAGGCATACTCAGTCGTACCATGAGAGTCAGTCAGGCGGCACCTCCCGTCAGTCCGGCTTCCATAGTGCCCAGGCGGTACCAAACTTACCATTTGTGCCGCAACAACAGTATTTTATGCAGCCACCTCCATTTGGTGGACCTGCAGCAAAAAACGTCCAACCTATGGACTGGCAGCTACGGCTGCTTAGACTTGGTGAACAGCCATCGGCTTTCTCCAAGGAAATTACTGAAGCCGCTCAGCCGGCCAAAGTAAAAAATGTTCTAGTAGGCGCCTATGACGGCACTACTAACCCAGAAGACCACCTGATGGCATTCACCAACCTGATGTACCTTCAAGGGTTGGATGATCCCACTTGGTGCAAGTGTTTCCCAGCGACTCTCAAGGGAATTGCACAGCAATGGTTCGGCAACCTGCCGACTGGTTGTGTAAACAGCTTCAGGACGCTTGCTTACTTATTTGCCTCCAACTTCGCTATGAACATCCCTGCGAAGAAAACGACCCTTGATTTGGGAACAATTCAGCAGGGCGAGAAGGAGGGGCTTCGTTCTTACATCAGGCGGTTCAACCTGATGAGAATACAGATTCAAGGGTTACCGGATGAGGTAGCTTATACTGACTTTTTTAGAGGTCTTAAAGACGGGTCTACCTTCAAATTTGATTTAGTTCGAAAAAGGGTGGCGACTCTTCAAGAGGCCTTGATTGAAGCAGAAGCCTATATACAGGCGACTGATCTGTGTACAATAAAACAGTCGGACGGGAAAAGGTTCGACAAAAGAGAGGGACGACAGAAATAGTCGTCCAACAAAGATGAGAAAAGAAAAGAGGTCTGGGCGGCTGATTCCTCTAAACAGCCGGCCCAGAAAAAGAAAAAAGAATTCAAACCATACTCCCCAAAGTATGTGTTTAACAAGGATAACCAGTTTATCCTAAAAGAAATAAAGGGACGGTTCTCAATTGAGAAGCCGCTCCCCATGAAGGGTTCTGCAAACAACCGGAACCAAGACAAAATCTGTGCTTATCATGATGACGTTGGTCATCACACCAATGACTGCATCAGTCTCATGCGGTACCTAGACCGCTTGGCTGATCAAGGTGATCTTGACACTTATGTCAAGAAAACTACGGGGAACACTTCCTCAAAAAAGCAGTCGGCCAAAAAGAATCAACAGGCCGACAGTTCCGATACAGATGATGCAGTCGTCTACACCATTGCAGGCGGCTTCTCAGGAGGCGGCCCCACTATTAGGGGCAACAAAGATAATATAAGGCGGTTAGATGTAAATTCCGTTCACCAAGAACGGCCGTCCAAATATACATTTCCTGAGATTGTCATCACTGAAGAGGATCTAGGAGGAATAAGGGGGCCGCATGACGACCCTCTCGTTATTGAATGTAAAGTGGCCAACCAGAGAGTTGGCCGAATCCTCATAGATACCGGGAGCTCCTCAGATCTCATCAGCAGCAAATGTCTGTCAAAACTAAAATATCAGACGGACTGCATACATCCGGCCTCCCACCCTTTAATAGGGTTTGGAGGAGGAGTCGTCCACCCACTGGGACGAGTAGATCTACCCATTCGCCTGGGCGAAAAAGGGGAAGGACGACACATGGTAGTCCGGTTCCTAGTAGTAGAGGAACTCTCGGCCTACAACATGATTCTGGGTCGACCAACCCTGAATAATTCCAAGGTTGTTATAATCCCGTCTCTTATGCTGCTTAAGTTTGAGAGGGATAATGGAACAGTCGGCTCCCTAAGGGGAGATCAGAGGATGGCCCGAGAGTGCTATCTCTCGGATGTCAAGCCCACTGTTATGGCCACTAGGTCAAGTGGAGAAAAAACAGACCTTGACAATGTCAAGGAGAGTGCGCCTGTTCAAGAAACAGGCGACAAAAAGAGAAAGGCGTCCCAGACAGAGTCCGCAAGAAAAGCAAGAAAATAGCAATCATTGGCAGAGGAGCGGCCGGATGAGTTCCGCCCTCAGCCGGCTGGTGAGCATGCGGACCTGATATTAGACGACTCACGTCCTGACCGAACAGTCAAAGTTGGGACGACTGCTCTGAGAAACCTTGGTGACGACTTTCACAACCTGTTGAAAGAATACAAGGACATCTTTGCATTTGAAGTCCATGAAATGCCAGGCATTAGTCCTGATCTGGCAGTACATAAACTCGCTGTGGATCCGAAAAAGAAGCCGGTACGGCAAAAGAAGCGGAACCATGGTGAAGAAAGAGGTCAGGCGGCAGCCGCCGAAGTCAAAAAATTACTTGATGCAGGGTTCATTCGGCAATGTTACTTCCCAGACTGGGTTGCAAATGTGGTGCTTGTTAAAAAGTCGAATGGCACCTGGCGAATGTGTGTAGACTACACAGACTTAAACAAGGCGTGCCCCAAAGACAGTTACCCTTTACCTAAAATTGATAACCTGGTCGACTCAACAGCCGGCCATGCCTTGATGAGTTTCATGGACGCCTATTCTGGTTTCCATCAAATTCCCTTATGGAAGAAAGATCAGGAGAAGACGGCCTTCGTCACTGATCAGGGGTTATACTGTTACACGGTCATGCCGTTTGGTCTTAAGAATGCCCCGGCTACCTTCCAACGAATGATAAACACAGTGTTCTTTGATCAGATTGGGAGAAACGTCGAGGCATATATTGATGATATGATTGTCAAGACTAAACTTCAGAAAGATCATCTGACGGACCTCCGAGAAACTTTCGCCACACTCAGGCGGCACCATGTCATGCTCAATCCCAAGAAATGTGTATTTGGAGTTGAGTCTGGGAAATTTCTCGGATTCCTTATCAATCAGAGAGGAATAGAGGCGAACCCTGAGAAGGTACAGGCGGTCATTGACATGCAGTCGCCTCGTACCGTCCGAGAGGTTCAGAAGTTAACAGGTTGTCTGGCGGCCTTGGGGAGATTCCTAAGCCGATCAGGCGACAAATGCCTATACTTTTTCCTGGCAATTAAGAAAAA